ATTAATCATTATATAGACTGGAAATCTACATGGTTATACCTTAATCATAACCAAAAACCTTCATCAAACTTTACTAGTTTTAAGCTTAATCAATCAAAAGCCTTTAAAATTAAAACTCTACTTAATGAACTACCTACACACTTTTCTTTTCACAACATCTACCTAACTATCTTTACGAATCCCAACTGCTTTCGATGTAATCTTCCTGATTCCCACTCACATTGGCTAACATGCTCTAATCCTTTTCTTATTATAAGCATTATTAACTTATCAGTTTAGCATATCCTATATAAAGCAGATCTTAATTTATCTACTAGTCAGCTACATGAACTTATTTATAAAATTCAAAAGCATCCTTCATTTGATCAAATACCATTTCAAGCAAACTCTTTTTATCTTGATCTTATTCTTAAAGGTCTCATACCCAAAGCCCTAATTGAAACAATCCATAATTACAACATACTTACTAAAACAGCTTCACAAACTATCATTCAAACACTTCTTGATATTAATGATCAAATCTATAACCAAATATGGAAACCTTATTGTATTGAATTCTCTAACTGAAAAAAAAACAACAACATTACATCTTTCCAAACGTTTAACAATTACAATACCTCACAACGAACACAACAAATTAGATATCACAAAAGATCATATACAAACTATATATACTCATGCTTATATAGAATAGTAGATCAATTACACTTACACCCTAATACCTGCCCACTGATTGGACAGGCTATTATTAATGCAATAATAAAAGATGCAAAAAATAACAAAAAATAACTTTGACTAGTGTTATAAAATATAAAAAAAGCATTTGATTCAGTATTATTAGTAGCATTAGATTTGGCACTTAAAAGACTTAAATACCAAAAATAGCAAGTACCTTTATTTTAAATTTGTTTAAAAATCAACAATCAAAAATTATTGCAGACTTAGGAACAACAGAAGACTTTAAAATTAAAAATAGTATTGAGCAAAGTAAAGTAATCTTACCTTTAGTATAAAAAATATTCTAAAACCCATTATTAAAAAGAATTCAAAATGACCTAAGTCTAGACTATACATTGTGCACTTTATAGCATAGAGACTACAATACAAAAAAAAAAAATAGAAACAAGCTGTAGTAGCATATACAGATGATACAACATAAGTTGCATCAAGTAAAAGGCAAATGAAAAAAATTATCAAAATAGCAAAAAATTTCTTTAACTTAAATGATATACAAATTAATGAAAAAAAAACCAAACTTATTACAATAAATATTAAAGAAAAAAAAAAATAGAACAATCATTTTTGGCAAAAAGTAGATTCAGAAGAAGAGCAAAAATAAAATTTTATGATTTCTAGGAATTTGACTAAATTTCAAACTTAAAGAATCAACAATAAAGTCAAAAGCTAAGAAATAGTATGAATATTTGTAAGGGGTCTAAATTCAAAAAAACTAATAATCAGCCAAATATTATATATTAACAACATATGCATCATATCCAAGTTGACTTATATGCTACAAACAACAAGATTATCAAAAAAAGTTATACAGTTTACCTCCAAAAAATTTCTCTGTCATGTGACAATCATCAGAAATTTTTTCATCTTCATGTAACATTCTTGCAGGCTATAAATTAAAATTTCTTTTCAGATTTTTTTAACTTAAAGGCAAGAATATATAAAAATAAAATTAAAAATAATTTACAACTATAATTCTAATATAAGAAATTATGTAAGGATGAACTATTTTTACTATTTAACAACAAGAGAAAATCATACTCAGCTGTCTTGGATGATTGTAAAAGTTAAGCAATTATTTAAGTAGTTTTTAATATCAATAAGCACAAAAATTGAAGTATAATTTTGGAATAAATACTTAAGCTAATTTTCATTTTATATTTTTTATATGATAGGCATTCAAGTAAATCGTAAATATTAAAAAATCAACAAACTTAAGTCAAGGATTAGACAAAATCATATGATCTAAATATTTTCATTTTTTTTACAATATAATTTAATTTGATCATTTAATTATTTAATTTGATCATTTAATTATTTAATTTTATATTAATTACAAGCTCATAATTTATTATCACATAAATAGGCATAATAATATTGATATAATTATAATAGGTACAAATTCTTTGAAATAATAATATCATATTTAAGTAATTTAATAATGTTCAATTATTGTATTTAGTCTACATTTATAACCCATTAGTGATAACATGCTTTTCTCAATATAATAATAAAAATTATAAAATTTTATAAAATATTGTGTATTTATTACAGTCTTTTCATGTCCTTGGCAATGTTCTTCTAATTCTTAATGTTTCAAATTTTTTTAACATCTTTTTTATTCCAGACATCACATCTTCTGCTGCTAACAAAAATTAGTATCTTTGTATAACTCTTAACTTTTTAATAGATCAATCTATTTTTGAAGATTTTCTTTAACATGGCCATTAACCTCTTCTCATGTCTTATTAGATTCTTTAACAATTACATTATTATTTATACCATCCTCACCTTTTTTATATTCTTGTAATGCTTCTGCAAATTTTTTATCAACTTTTTGTACATCAAGTTCATTCTCATTTACCATCTTATCTTCTTTCTCAAGTTTATCATCTTCAACTAGCTCTAAGCCTCATGTTAATAGAATTAGATCATTATGTTTCAGAAAGGTGAAATCTATAACATTTAACTTCATTAAAAAAAGTTTGGGTTTAATGGTCACACAGATTGTACCAGATGTTTGCAGAGAAGAAAATGACTGCAAAGGTAAGTTGAGCATAAACAAGTTCATGTGTTTGGATCAGTAATATAGGAACCACCATCTAATTCTTTTTTCAAACATGTCTTCTAAGAATGTTTGAAGGTTGGTTGCCATAATGTTAAAGCTCTTGTTTTGTAATCTGATTTTAGTTGTTGCATCTTAATTATATATCATGAAAGAAGATGTTTAATAAGAATCTATACAAGTAAATCAACATGTAGTTTATTAAATTTATAAATGTAATTATTTTAATAAGTCTCTAATGTAATTTCATGATCATTGTAGTTTTTAATACTGAAATTTCATTTTTGGTACTTTGTGCCTAGTTAGATTATTTAAATAAATCATATTACTCTATCTACAGATATAATCATGTCTACTTGAAATCATTATTTTTGCAGTACATATACATTTCCTTAACAGTGACTTCATGAATTTGATCAGAAAAATAGTACTGCATATCAGCTGCAGGAATGTAAAAGTGTTGATTAAAATGCTTAGTTATGGAATTGATGATATGGTTATAATACTCTAGTAGACAAAAGATGAATAGTATTTTTCTATTTGGTGTTTCAACTGGCAATTGTATTAACTCATTATCATTATTAAAGCTAATATTATGCTGTTGTAATATAATTTTAGGGCAAAAATCAAGATCAATAATGAAAATTCTGTATTTGTCCTGCTTGCAGTATATTGTATTATTTTTGGCATTTTTTTAATCCAAGTTGCCTTTTTATTGCTCATTTTAGATGCCAAAAGCAAAGCTGAATATGTGCATTTGGTCATACTGTTTTTGCTGCTAAAATCTGTGCAAAGTTTTTGTCAGTTATCACAAAGACAGGATTAATTTCTATATTATGCAGCTTATCAAAAAACTGTATAATTATATTTGTGCAAGTTCTATCATTAATTGCAATTGCTGTTGTTAGCAGCATATATGCCAATAGGAATCATATTCTGTTTATCTTAGCAAGTATTGAGTATAGCTCAAGTTTCATTTTGTTAGTATTATCTGTTATATAATAGTATTAATTGTTAGTATAAATGATTTTTATAATTTAACTATTTAAAACTAGTGTTGTATGCTAAACTAAAAAGCTTGCTCAGATTAAACTTTAAAACTTAGTAAAATTCATTTTGCCAAGTTTCAAATTTTAAAAATAGTGAATTTAACGAAATTATCTGAAGCCTCTAAAAGTAAGATTTATATTTAATTATTAAATATAAATAATATTCTGATATAATAGACAATTTACTTAATATTCAAATATTGGTAAAAAAATTTTAAATATTATATTATATTGTAGAATTCATTGATTAAACTTAGATAAGTTGTAATTTACTATTCAAACTTATTCTAGATAGATTAACAGTTTGTTAAGCAAGTTTTAAATCAAGATTTTTTAGAGGCTCAGATTGGATAAGATCAAAGTTCCAAAGGACAATTAATTTTAAAGTTTAGCCTGCAATACTAATAATAGCACATATATATCATGTTTACACTAATCTTAACTGAATTTTTTGCCTAATTTATTAATTAGCTCTATAACTCCAAAGCTAATCATAGTAACTTCATTCTCTACAATACTTAATATTATTTTAGTATTATCATATTCTTCAATAATTTTAATAGCTGATTGGATTTGATTTTTATCTTTTTTTCAGATATGCTAACTAAAATTTATTCACTAATAATATATCTGCTTCTTGGTAATATTTGGGCTTCTTGTACCAATATTTTCCTATATAATTCAAGGCATATTCTAAAGATTGTTTTAAATATATTCTTTTATTTTATTCATTACATATACATCAGCATATTCAGCATAATATTTGTAAACTAATTCAACCTTAATTTGGTTTTTTTCTGTGTCAATAGTAAACATTAGCCAGCCTCTCAATAAAACCTTTGCATTGGCAAATGATCTCTATGTTTGGTAGGATCTTTATACTTTTTTATTTTTTTTGCCTATCAAGTAATTGCACACAGTAGTATCTAAATTTTGATAAATGTTCCAATCTTATTAGGAGTTTGTCTTTACAACTTTAAAGAACAAGTTAGTTAATTTTTAATTTGAATTTGAATATATTTATTTAAATATTTTTAATTTATATTTGCTTACTTAAACTTGAATTTTATAGTTGCAAAAATATTATCCAAAATGTATATTGCAACCTCTTTTGGATCTATTGGATCTGTTTGTTCATCAATACTAATAATTTGCTTAAAATTTTCTATATTTTGACCTTTTATTGTTTTAGGGTAGTAAAAAAATCATTTATTGTAATACAACTAGTACTTGCATTTGCTGTAGCATCTGCAGCTATATGTTTTTGTACATTTTGTTTATTTCTTTTGTTTCTACATACTGAATATGTTTTAATAATCTTGTTATTTTTTAAAAGAAATTAGATTGGATGAGGCTAATTGCAATCTGTGCAAACTTTATTCTGTTTAGCATTAACTTAAGTTTCTTGTTCAGTATTAAATTGAGCTTTCATGTTTTTGAAAAGTTTTATAGATATTAAAAAAACTTTAATATCTTTTATTAACAGATAATGATCAACAAAGAATAAATTGTTAATTTTGATTATACAGTATGCAAAGAGTAAGAATAAAACATTTGTTTAACTTCAATTATGAATATTTATATATTATAAAGTTTAATTGAAATAAGAATATAATATAATATGATTATTATTTTAAACTTTAACTTATTTTTTTTTTAAAAAATTTGAAATTCTGGAGTTTATTTAAGATCAAGCTCTTATATATATTTGTGACAATCAAATACATATATTAAATTTGACTATATGAAGTAAAGAATACAAGCAGAGGCAAATTATATTCATATATTAGGGTGCCTAATTATATCTTTTAGCTGTCAGATAGCTTATAGATCAAGGTAATTTCCATCTTAATACTATGCTATTGTACTAATATAGTAATATAAAATAGTTTCTAAATTTTATGCACTACTATGTTATTGTATTAATATAGTAATATTGAATAATTTCTGAACTTTTATGTATCAAAAAGTTATTTAATGACTGAAACAGCAAGGTAATGCTATTTATTATCAATGCTAACTTTTTTTGTATACTCACATTATACTCTTTTAGACATTTTTTTATTTATTTTTTAGTGTTAAAGTCCTTGCTTTTAAGGTCAATTTTTTTATTTAAGTATTTAGACATGAATGCCTCTAGAGTTTCTATATATAGAAGGTTACAACTAGTCACATGTGCACTTTTAGTATTTAATTTAAGTAGTCCATTTATATATTACTATACAGGTTCTATACTAGGTGCCATATCTGCAAGCCAACTATGGGTCTTGCTTATTTAAACCCTCTGCATATGTAATCTGACTTGTAATTATAAGGACATCTTCTGGGCTATACTTATTCAAAGTATTTGATGATTTTGAGACCCTTAGGACTAGTTTATCCTTAACAAAAAACTTATTAAAACCTTCTGTATCTCATATACAGCTAATCTAGTTTTATACAACACACTATAGTTAACTAACACTTGCAGTCACAGAGGCTATCTGTTTAACTGCTATATTATACTATTTCTATCCTTGTAAAGTTTACTAGAATCCTAATATCTATCATTATGATGTCTTCTTTATTATCACTTACTAACTGCTACTTAGGACCAACAGGACTCCTTAACTTTCAATCTAGATAGTCCAGTATAGTATACTTATGTATTCTTTTCCTCTAACAATTTCAGCAGTCTGGTTGGTTATATGCTCCTCTATACATCTTGATATTCAGCTTATTTGCCTATTCCTTTGGAAATGTTTTATGGACTTCTATTAGTCTGATCATACTGTTGAAAGTTCATGCTAACTCTTTACTTAGGAATTTCCAAGTGAGTTTCCAACTCTTTGGTTTCTTAGTTTACTGTGTCTAGTAGTCTTATTGTGGGTTTGCATCAAAGTTTTATGTGATACTAATTATTAATATTCCTCTATGTATATATAATTTTATACTTGGTATAGATGCCCCAAGCTTCTATTTGAGATGGTGTGACTTAAGGGTACAGATACATATATCCAACTAATTGTCAAAAGACAGTTTGCTATAATATAGATTAATTTTCAAATTTTATCATAAGTGGGATTTGAACCTTAGATCTGCTACTTGGAGGATGACAACTCAACTACTACACTAGGATCACTATTTTCTACCCTTTTTAGAATTACTAATGCATGTTCATTATTTTTGTTATTATTTTTTATATATCTAATAACTAAATAGAGACAATTGCAATTATTTCAAGACTTTTGCTATACTTTATTAATATCATCGAAGTGTGAATTATTGGTCTTTATTTACACAAGACCAGTGTTGAAAATTTGGCACAAACATTTTGTGCAAGAGAATTTTTTATACATAAATATTATTTTATTTTTTGTGCATTTGCACAGTATATTGTTAATTTTGTACAAATAACAATATATGCATAACAAATTTTTAATATTGCACAAGATAATAATTATGCATGTATTATTAATTTGAGGCTTTCTTTTTTGCAAATAATGCAGATATTATATTCTCAATAATACCATTGGTCACTGCATACAGTATTCTTCAAATAATACCTGATTAAGATCCAGATATTATTTTCCACCCATTTGGCTTAATTCTTGAATAATACCTAGAGTGTAACTATATTTAATTTAAAACTTTCATATTATATATTTTCCAAATATAGTACCTAGGTACTATTCAATTTTAAAATGAAGTTTTTGAATAATATCTTGAATATTTTATGCAGTGGCTATTGGTAATGCTAGTTTTGAGATTTTTTACATTACTTATATATCTAATTTACTGATCTTTTCTAAATTTTAATCAAGACATATTGAAAAATATATAGATATTCTTTTAATTATTAAGTGTTTTGAAATATTTATTCTTAAATATAAATTTAGAGCCCACTATTGGATCAATTAATTTGTATTTAAACTAATGTTATTGTAAATATTGTATGTAATTCCCGAATATATGCCA